AAACAACCTTATTCTAAACTGTATCACGTCTATATCAAACCCCTAAACCCTAAACATCACAGAGGTATGTTAAATGGAGTCGGTTTCACGGTCCGAGTTCGGGTTACACGACTCACATGGTGCGGCTTCCCAAAAGGCTCGCGTCAAAATCCTAGCGATGAACGATGGACAGTGACAGGACCAGACTGATCTAAACCGTAAACCCCAACCCCTGACGGGGGAGTTCTGTGTTAGTCCCTTTTGGCGGATCTGTGTGATTTTAGGGGAAGCTGCGGAATCTGATCCAGGATCCGCTGCACTTTTTGGCAGTGTTCGGGCTGAGGAAATGACGGCTAAGGGCTTTTGGTTTGGGGTTTGGGGTGTTGGACTAAAGGTCTGGCAGTTTAGGGTTTAGGGTTTAGGATTTTGGGGTTTTGTCGCGCCATAGGACCTAGAGTGAAGAGAAGGGGTTTGATCACCGCTCGTCAGACGGCAAAAGTCTGAACTAAATCCTCGAACTTCCCACCCCCTAAACCTAAGGCCCTAGAATCCACACCCCGAACCCTTCAACTCAAAAATCCTAAATCCTTACTCCCTCCCCTAAACCTACGCCCCGAACCTATACTCAAAAATCCCAAGTCCTCAGAGAGCCCACTCTAAACCCTAAAACATTCCGAAACCCTATAAACCCTATAACTAAACCTTATAAGTCGTATAAGTAAACCCTAAACCCCCAAATCCCTAAACCCCAAACCCCAACGCCCCCAACTGGAGGCCCCTGGCCGGCCATCTTTCAGTGTTAGCCTCGCCGTCTCGTCCCGCAACTGCTGTACGATGGCCTTGGGAGTTCAACGATTTCGGGCTTTCAGGGCTTATAGGGTTTATAGGGTTCTTTAGGGCTTACAGGGCTTATAAGGCTTATATAGGGCTTATAGGGTTTATAGGGTTTAGGGTTTATAGGGTTTCAAGGCTTCGAGGGCTTTGGCAGGCCGAGGGTATAGAGGATGTACCCGAAGCAGTGAACCCTAAACCCTTGGAGGGTCGATCTGTTCTCTTCTGTTCTGACCCGACTCCTTGCCGCGTCCAAAACCTGGCTTTCAGAGTGCTTACCCAAAGGCCCCTAACTAGTTCGTTTTGGGGAGTACCTTGTAGGATTCTAAAAATATAAACCACAAAAAGGAACTACTTCTCGGCCTATGGGTAGGATGCTCTCGCCTTAACCCGAGACCCGGATCTCTCAATGCTTCCTTCGGGCTTTCTTGCGTCGTGGACCTTGGGAGACTCTGGATGCCACGGTTCTTCTGCTGGTTCTTAGTAGGGAATGGGGGAATGGGTTCTTGGCACTACTATAGGGGACCTTAAGGCACTATCATAGGGATCCATTCNNCCCTACTAAGAACCAGGGAGTTTTTGAAGCTTCAGGGATGGTGTGGACGTTTTAGCTTCTCCTTTGGAATCTGCCTCGGAGGAAAGAAGGAGCGAGTAAGCAGGACTCTAAGGTAGGGGCTTCTGACTCTGTTTTTAAACGAT